CGTGAAATGAACTGGTGGAAAAAAGTAGCTATTATCTAACAACTTTATTTTTGTTAGTAGTCATGAAGATGTCAGGCTGGCCTTAAGAATACACAACAAAGGACTGTATTCAACCTTTAGCATATTTAATTCCTGGAAGAATTTGACCTATTTCGAGAAAAGAAACCCCCATATGTGTTAGAGTTAAGTCATTTGCTTCACTGCATTTCTCCTTTGTGGGACTTGGCAGTCGACTGCCAGTGAGTTTGATGGCGTGTCTGTCAGACGGATGGGATAAACATGCGTCATCGCCCGTGGCTTTGACAAGCAGAGCAGTGGACTTGGACACATAGACTTAGTAATCCATTTAACCCAAAGAGAGCTGGATCTGTGCAGAGGACAGGACAGAAATATACCCCACTCAAGCCACTGATTAGAAGTGTCCTGATGTCACAGGGGTCAGAGATGTGAGTGTAGTCCCATTTGAGACTCAGGTCAGTCTGTGTCATAATGAGGCTAACTGGAGAAAGAGCATACACGTTACAGTCTAACTCATACTGCTGTGCTCCCTACAGCAAATGATGCAATCTGGCCCTCCTTCAGCAATAATAGGGTTCCTCTTAAACCTCCAGACTGGAAGGACACAAGTCAAGCTCATAGCAGCAAGATGGGTACATCAGACAAGGTGAGATTAAACAGTCCTCCAAAGAACTTAAGCACAAGTTCTATTGAACGACATCTTTTGAGTCTTGCTTAACTTGTGTTTTTTCATTTATTTACTAGGAAGCCCCTAAGCTGTTAGGGACAGTAACAGCATTGTCTAAGCAGCCCCCACCCATCTATGGAACCTATCCCAGTGCAGGCCATCACTCCACAGTCTGTGCCACCAGCTCTTTGCCCCGCTCTGCACCTGGCAACGTAGGCTGGCAGAGAACACCCCCTGCCTCTGGTTCCTCATCACAGCAGATCCAACAGCGGATAACAGTGCCTCCCAGTCCTACGCCTCAGTCTGGATCCGCCCTCTTCCCTCAGGGTGAGAGGACAGAGCCTCCTCTTGCTGTGGCGGTACGTCCCTTTATTCCAGACAGAGGGTCCCGGCCCCAGTCTCCAAGGAAGGGTCCTGCCACTATGAACTCCAGCTCAATCTACAATATGTACCTGCAACAGCCTACAGCCAAAAATTACTCCAGTAGCAGCAGAGCTGCTGTTAAAGCAGGTAATAAGCAGTTGCATTGGTTCTACAAACAAGTATGGAAATTAGCTTTCCATATTATAATTATGCATGTTCCCTTCTTTTAAATATGCTTTCTTTTCGTTTGCTTCCAGTATACGGAAAACCAGTTCTACCAGGCTCCACCTCTCCCTCTCCAGTTCCACTCTACCAGCAGTCCTTCACAGATGAGGTCGACAGAGAGGTCCAAGAGTGTACTCCCTTACCTCCACCTAATGTGGAGAACATCCCTCGCCCTCTCAGCCCTACCAAACTGACCCCTGTGGCCCACTCCCCTCTCCGTTACCAAAGTGACATTGACCTGGAGGTGCTGAGACGGAAATTATCCAATGCTCCTCGACCTTTGAAGAAGCGAAGCTCCATCACAGAACCAGAAGGACCCAGTGGGCCTAACATCCAGAAGCTCTTATATCAGCGCTTCAACACCCTTGCAGGGGGCATTGAGAATGGAGTGGGTGGTACACCTTTCTACCAGCCTGATAGTCCTTTGAACTACATGGCCACAGCCCTGGGTGATGTGGACACTACCAATGGGAACCTGATGGAGTCAAGCATGTTAGCTGAGCCTTCAGCAGAGCCAGCAATCTCAATCCCTCCTCCCACCTCTTCTGTGTCACCTACAGCTGATGACAATGAGAACCAGCTGACACATTTATGTAGTGACTCAGGGGGTGCCCAGGCGGATGGTGCCTCAGTCCCTTCTCATAAGGACAACCATGAGGACAATCATAACAACAACCACACAAATATGGACGCACAGTCTAGTCCAGTACCAGAAGCCAATTCCCCTGCAGAGCAGGACACCACAGCACAGTCAGGCACTCCTCCAGGTGCATCTACGGTGAGTTGGCACTGGCTGAAGACATTTTTTTTGCATGTCTCATTCTGCAAAACGTTTTGTGATACTCACAAGCAACATTCATTCACAGAGTCCTGCAGCAATCCTTTAACCTAGCCGTGGTAGTAGAATGAGTTTATCATACTGTTGGCTATATCAATTAGCATAGCTCTGATACTGTATACATTTATTTGGGCTTTTTTCTTCTTCAAAAGATGTGGCTCAAAAGACATGATGTTAGTCTTTGAAATATAAAAAACAATAGATTTTTCAAATTGCAGGTCAAGCGCACAAACTTGAAGAAACCTGGCTCTGAGAGGACAGGTCATGGCTTGAGGGTCAAGTTCAATCCTCTTGCATTGCTTTTGGATGCATCTTTGGAGGGCGAGTTTGATTTGGTGCAAAGGATTATCTACGAGGTACTATTCAGTTGCCATACGCTCCCTTACACCTATGTTGAATGCTTGAACTAGTCTCAGTAGTAGCTTGTCAACTGTTTCCTTCTCAAATTGTGTTTGTTTTACTCCATCCTCAGGTGAACAATCCTAGCACTCCAAATGATGAGGGTATTACCCCTCTCCATAATGCGGTATGTGCAGGTCACCACCATATTGTAAAATTCCTGCTGGATTTTGGGGTCAATGTCAATGCAGCAGATAGTGATGGATGGTGAGGACTATCACTTTTGTCAGACATTTGTCTGTATTAGAGAATATTGGACATCTGTTGTCATTTCATATTGTACAGAAATGACATTCTCTCTCATAAAGTGATGTTAGCAGTTGCTAACTCTGTCTCACTTGTGATCAGGACGCCCCTGCACTGTGCAGCTTCATGCAACAATGTTCATCTTTGCAAGTTGCTGGTGGAGTCTGGAGCTGCCATTTTTGCCACTACTATCAGTGATGTGGAGACGGCAGCAGACAAGTGCGAAGAGATGGAGGAGGGTTATGTCCAATGCTCTCAGTTTCTATATGGTAATATCAAGCACATTTTCTGCTGTTGTTATTTTTTCTATAAAGTGAGTATCTAGAGTAGAGGCTGTACAAGATTTTGAAAGCCAGAATTCATTTTTGTTACTTCCCTTCCAGGTGTACAGGAGAAGCTGGGCGTAATGAATAAAGGGACGGTTTATGCCCTGTGGGACTATGAAGCTCAGAGTGCAGATGAGGTGTCCTTCCATGAGGGCGATGCTCTTACCATCATGAGTCGTAGGGATGACAGCGAGACGGAGTGGTGGTGGACCAGACTTAATGACAAGGAGGGCTACGTACCACGCAACTTGTTAGGGGTACGATTTCTGTATAGGCATGCATTTAATTTCTTAAATGACACTGTTATGCATTACAATACTTTGTTTCAATGTAAGGCATATAATGAGAAAGAATCAACCCTGCAATTTTGTTTAAAAGGTAGGTTCTCCATCAGTAATTGTTGTTCACTGTTGCAATTGTAGCTGTACCCAAGGATCAAACCCAGGCAACGTTCCTTGGCATAGGTTGCCAGAAGAAACGGTGCAAGCTCCTGTAATAGCAGTTGGCATGAAGCTGCGGGATGGCGCCCTGTCTTTGCCATCACCCCAATAAAGAACTCACAGATGATGGAGAACGTCTGATGCTGGACAAGAGGGAATAACCGAAGAGAGGGCAATTCAGTGGTCTTCCGTTTGCATCCCAGATTTTATTCGTCAATTTGATGTGTTGTTTTTGCAGTATCCCATTTTACCCATATATCTGTTGAGGAACATGTTAGCTTTACTGACCTATTCCACAGTGCAAACCTCCTGAGTCTATGTGTGTGAGAGAGAGTTTAAGAATGGGATGTTATTGTCAGAACGGGACGTGGATGTGATGATAAGAGTTGGTGACAGAGTATGTAGTCTTGGATTCTAGTGTTTTGTGCTCTGTGGTTATTATCAGGCAAAGAGGAAACTGAAGGGACTGATGTTTCATTTCCCACGGTTAGGAAGTTGCTGATTCAGGGAAAAGGAAGGAAAGTGCTGGAAAGTGTTTAGAAGAGACCTTGAGGCTGGTCAAGCTTCTGATGGACAATAGGGAAGTGGCCTGGTATGGACACATGTATATTTTTATGTGTGGAGAATTATGTTGGTTGATGGAGGTGAAATTGAGAAGTCATCTATTAGGAACTGAATTTTAAAAGGATGCTGAAAAAAAACAAAACAAAAAAACAAACGGATGCCATAAAAACGAATGCAGTGGCTGTTTTCCCATCATCCAGGGGATATTGACAACACATCACATAAAATCTATATTTCCATGCTTTATTTAAGTTTGGCTTGATATTTTATGCTACATGATCTTTTCCCTTTTTAAAGGTTGTTTATTTAATTGAAATGAAAAAAACAAACAAACAAACAAAACAGCTTGATATAGACTTTTATGGCTGTCAAAACAGGCAGGATCTGCCTTGTGTTTGTGCTGCCATACGAGAGCCATTAATGCAATGTCATGTATTTGTGCACAATAAAATTTCCACATTGGGACAAAGTCACATGTTGTATTGACTGGATTTTTTCACAGCATATTCTATGCAGGAGTATGATGATGTGTACTCTTTGGGGTTGCCAACTTGAAATATCAACATACTGTAGATGCATTTGTTGTGAAGTTTGATATGTCCTTAGTGTTTTTTTTTTGTTTTTTTTTACTTGATTTATTTTACTTCATTACTTATTTAGCTTGAAAATAAATGTGCTTATCTATTTAAAAAAAAAGACAATTGGCTGTTTTTTTTTTTTTTACTTGCTTTATTTTACTTCATTACTTATTTAGCTTGAAAATAATATCGTATATTTAGAAAAATTTACCATTGGCAAAGTTGTGAAGCCTATCAAAAAAATAACAATAATTCAACGTTAGACTCATGTTTTTTAATCATTGCACGGTACTCCCATGAATAAGTAACTTAGTTTAACCTGACATTACCGGTCTTGAACATTAGTTCATTAGTGCTCGATTACTTTATTGTCAGTAAACGAACTTTGAACTTGTAGGCTACAGGCTAGGCTAGTAATATCCACAACACCGCGACGCAGGTGAGTAGACCAGAGTAAAAATACTAATTGTCTGTATATTTTTAGTTTAATGAAACGTTTAAAACGTAAAATAAGTGCATGACTTAAGAAAACCCAGGTTTCACTACTACTAAAAACGTGGGAAATCTCAAATTTCTGTTCGTCGTGCACGGAGGTCATTTACCCACCGTGACTGGTTGAACATTTCCTCCTGTATTAACTGTATTTCAGAAAATTATGAGCAAAATGTCAAAGCAAAATGGATTTCATGTCGTCACCCCACTTCTCGAGAGCACGGGCATGTCGAAGCGGGTGGGAACTACCGTGTTTTTGAAGATGGAGAGCTCACAACCCACCGGTTCCTTCAAAATCCGTGGAATTGGACACATGTGTCAAAATGTGAGGGAACATATCGCTGTATTTCATAAAATTAAGCTTCACGATATTTGTTTGACTGAACACATAAAGCTTTTAAATGTTAACGATGTTGCAAACAAAATCCTTCACTGAATCAAACTTCCCTCATAGTAGTCTATAGTCACGTGCGCGTTCACACTGCCCTCTAGCGCTTATAAAAAGGAACGATTGCACAGCCTATTGGAGAATTCTAACAATTTTTTATTCCTTTCTAAGGTTGCAAGTTCAAACCAGTCGAGAGGTGTCATTTGTTCTTCTGGTGAGTGTAATGGTAAACATTTAATTGTATTTCCCGGTCATAGATGAACATATTCAATCATGTCTCCCTGTCTCTGTGCGTATACATTTAGGTGGTAATGCAGGTATGGCCACAGCATATGCAGCAAGAAAACTCAACCTGCCAGCCACCATTGTTTTGCCCTTGTCGACACCCCAACTGGTAGCTCAAAAACTTAAGGACCAGGGAGCTACAGTCAAAGTTGTGGGCAAGGCAAGAGCAAAGTACCATCATCGTTATCTCAAATGCCTTTTATTCCTGATATGATGCAATTATGTTTTCTTACCCTAAGTCATTTACATGCCAATGTTTTTTTGTGATGATGTAGGTGTGGGATGATTCAAATGCTGAGGCCCTACGATTGGCGGAAATTGAAGGTCTTACTGTAATACACCCGTTCAACCATCCTCTGGTCTGGTGAGTTCATTTATCATAAATAGAAAATAAACTTAAGGAATCTGATCATGTACAGTCCTAAATTTATTTCATAGTTTTCACATAAATGAAAAGCTGTAAAAAAACAACAACAACCTGTCTCTTAGGAAAGGTCATTCCAGCATTGTGCATGAACTCAAGGCCTCACTGCCATCCAAACCTGGAGCTATAGTGCTTTCCGTAGGGGGTGGTGGTCTGTTCTGTGGGGTGATGGAAGGGCTGGATGAGGTAGGCTGGGGCAATGTGCCTGTCCTATGCATGGAGACCGTGGGTGCCGATTGTCTAAATTTTGCTCTGAAAGCCAAAGATCTGGTTATGCTGCCTGACATTACAAGGTATAAATTAACAAATAATCTTAAATTCACATACAATTCATGAACAATGTTTTGAACTGAATCTTTCTGATATTGACTGCTCGCAAGTGAAGCAACGTGTTTGGGAGCAAAAATGGCATGTCAGCAGGCGTTTGAGTACAGCAGACGTCCCAATGTCATTTCAGAGGTGGTGACAGATCTACAGGCCCTGGAGGCAGTGGAACTGTTCCTGGGTAAGTTCATTGCTATGATTAAGGTCATTAAACAGCTCAATAATTACAAAGCATGCTTTGCTATTGATTACTGTGTTCTGTATGCAGATGAGGAGCGTGTGTTGGTGGAGTTAGCCTGCGGAGCATCATTAGCTGCTGTATACAGCGGAATCATTCCGAGGCTACAGGAGGAGGGACGCCTTCCTAAACTGCTCGACCCGCTGGTTATGATTGTGTGTGGGGGTGGCAGTGTGAACCTGCCTCAGCTCCGGCATCTACAGGCAGCCATACGGAAATGACCACCACATCTTTACGTTCTCACATCAGTGCATCTGCTTTGAGTAGGACTGACATGTTGTGTTGCATAAATCAAAAGATAAGGATAATCTGCTGTATTTCAAAGCAATACTGTTTGGATTTTCTGTAACCTTGCTTTAGTGAAATGCTATTTGTGTGATGAAATCCTTTAGAGTAGAATGTTGTCATTTACCACCTGCAACCAGCAGGCGGTGCTAATATTATCGTTTCAGGCAAAAACTTTTTTATCATGTTTTGATCAATTTTGAGATATTAGGCTAATTGATATGATGTTGTGTCAGACTAGTGGAAAGAAAACATCAAAAATATACATTTTACTGTTTATTTTATTGCACTTTATTTGCATGCACTTTCCAAAATTTAGATTTTTTTTTTCTTGCTGAGTGATAAAAAATATCAAAAATCTCCCATGTAAAATCTTGGAATCTAAAATGTGAGCAAAATAACACAAGAATTTCGAACCTGGAGTGTTCAGATTTCTGTTATGAAAATGCTTGCAAATGAGTGCAAATTTAATAATATGTCTCATTTGCATATTTAAACAATACTTTAGAAAAGTTGTAATATATTTTTTTGCAATTAACCAATCAACTGGGGATAAATGTGTTTTTAAAATCATATTCACCTGTAATGTGTTGCCTTAAAGTGTTTTTTGTTTGTTTGTTTTGGACAGTGTAAAAGCAAATCTAATATGATATGGATAATAATAGGTTTGATAATAATACATTTAATAGGTAACAGTTTTTCTTTGAAATAGCCACTGTCTGTTTTCAGCTTAGTTATTTCAAAGATGAAAATTCTCCAGCCATTTTATTACATTTTTACATTTATTCATATAGCAGATGCTTTTATCCAAAACTAACAATAGGACAACACTATGTAAGTGCTATGACCCTCCCAGTTTAATCTGACGATGTATGTGTACTTCAAAAAATAAAATAAAATAATTAAAAAGATATTATAAAGAGATATATTTTTAATGGATCAAATGTTGCTGAAAAAGATGCCGTTTCTTGAAAATGGCCACAGGCTCAGCAGCTCATGTTGAGCTGCAGGTCATATTCCACCAGCAGGGAACACACCAGAAAAAGGTTAGAGATTTTGTGCCTCTTTGAGATGGCACCACAAGATGGCGTTCACTTGCAGCGCGCAAGATTCTGGAAGGCACGTAAATCTCAAATAATGAGTTTAGGTAGGAGGGAGCAGAGCCAGTGGTTGTTCTGTAGGCAACTACCTGGATGGGGCAGAAATAAAGAAGCTATGAGCAGCTGCAACCAGATTTCTGAGGAGGCAGGTTCAGGAAAAACCCTTGAGTGACTGCAAAAGACCTGCAGAAAGACTTGGTGGAAACAGACACAGAGGTTTCAGCTTGCACAGTAAGACGCATACTAAACGCATGCGGTTTCCAAGCCAGAACTCCAAGACGTACACCACTACTAACCCAAGAGCACAAGAAAAGTGCTCAAAATCATATAAATAAGCCACAGAAGGTTCAGATTCTGTTCTGTGGAGCGATTAAACTTTTTCAGCCCCATGGATCAGCGGTATGTCTAGAGGGAGATGAATGAAGCATATGCTTAAAAAAAAAAAACACTCACTCTTAGAAAAAAGGGTTCTATATATGTAGCATCGCGGGTTCTTTACTCAACTCCAAATGACATTTTATGCTAAAAAAGGTTCTATAATGACAAGAAAGAACCCGTTTGGCACAAAGGTTCTTTATAGGCTATTATTCATTCATATATTACATTATTCTGCAATATTTTGTAGTTGTAATTAAATTATTGTTTATTAAACTTAATATCACATTTTAATCATGCTGATTTTTGGAGGAGAAAATCTGAAATGGCACTCTTCGTGGTATATTGATTAACTACATAAAATGATATAAATATATACATTTTCTAACCCCCATATCTTGAATTTTGATATAGAAAATTTTAGGGGTTCCAAATACGTAGTGCTTCTATATAGAACCTTTTCTTCTAAGAGTAAGCATTGGTGGTTGCACCAGTTGTGTGGAAGCCAAGATTTGAGTTTATTGAAGTATCAGGAAATCCTATGAGAAAACATGCCTTCAGCTTGGCCGTCATTGGAGCTTCTAACAGGACAATGATGCCAATCACACTTCAAATTCCACCAAGACTTGGTTGCAGAAGAAATCCTGGAAGATTCTACATTGGCCATCACAGTCATCTGACTTGAGAAAATCTCTGGTGGGATTTGAAGAAGGCGGTTGCATCACGCAAACCCAAGAATATTACTGAACTGGAGGCCATTGTTCATGAGGAATGGGCTAAGATTAATCAGAAATGCTGCCAGAAGCTGGTGTCAGGTACATCTCATTTACAGCAGGTCATAAAAGGGTGTTCTACTAAGTACTAAAGATGCTTGCCATGAAGGGATTAAATAAGTTTGAGACTTCAAAAGTCATTAAAAGTTGCATTTTCAGATGAATTTGGGGAAACCACTTGAAACATAGTTGTGTTGAGCTATGTAAATGATTTTTGTTTGATTGGTTCATCGCAAAGAGCTGAAAGTCTGTTCATTTTGTCGATAAACCTGATTTGCAATGGAGGTTGAATAATTTTGATTACAACTGGTACACCTTGCCCAGGTTGGACCCTGTGGTGGATTTTTAATAGATAAGATAGTAAACTATCTTTTAGAACTAATCATGTTTCTGACTCTAAAAAGCTGACCTTTAGATTATCTAACCTTATACTTTTACCTGACTTCCCCTTTGGGTCTAATGTTATGAATAACTCTTACCTTACTTCCCTTTTAGGCATCCTAACATTTGAACTAAATGTAGTGTTCGAAACAAGTGAATACATGGTTGTTTGAGTGTAAAAATAACATAGGAAATGAAACTTGACAGATGTTTAACCTTGAAACCTTTTGGTTACCTGGTAACAAAAGGGCCTGTCTATGAAGAACCAATCAAGTTGTGGGGAAATTATGTAACATTTCATGTCATTTTGCCCTACCCCAATTATACAAAAACTGTTGTATTTGTGTTTACTGGTGGGATTCTCAGTGGAATTGACTGAGATCTTCCGGCCTTGCTTCTTCTTGGGGAAAGTTCTCTGAGGAAATGTCGAGGCCGTGATTAAAGCATTTAGAGGACATTTGCAGAAGTCTGTCTGTCATTACCTGCTGCGTAGCAGGTTACACTCTAAAAAATGCTGGGTTGTTTTAACCCAACTTTGGGTCAAATATGGACTAACCCAGCCGTTGGGTTAAATTTTTACATTACATTTTTAACCCAACATTTCGAGTTTGTCCATATTTGACCCAAAATTGGGTTAAAACAACCCAGCATTTTTTAGAGTGTAGTCTACGGAAATAGATATCTGTTAGGAAATGTGAAATGGAGACAACCCAGGTAGACGCTATATAGGGAATGTCGATTGAAGACAACCTAGGGAACGTTGATGAGGAGAAGACCCAGGTAGACTTAGGTACGTACTGTAGGTTTAGGGACAAAGTTCCACAACCCCATTTTGCCTTCAGAACTGCCTTAATACTTTGTGATGTTGGTCCATATTGACATGATTGACAATACACAGTTACTGTAGATTTGTCAGCTGTACATCCATGATGAGAATCTCCAGTTCCAATTGTTGGAAACACATAGACCAGGTGGCTTGGTTGAATCTTCAGCAGGATTCTTTATTGAGAACACTATCTGTTGGTAGCTGCAGTTATCAAGTCTTATTGTGTACATTGAAGTTTAGATTTTAGGGGCAGTGCTTAGAAATGGAGATAAAGCACCTGGCTGACGACCTTAACAAATCATGCAAATGAGGTATACAGTAATAGCAACCCACCCCAAACTCTAGAGTGTTGCAAGTCCTAATTCTATCAGCACAACCAATTTAAAGATTGAGAAAGGAGATCCAAGAGCCAATAAAGACAAAAGGTCAGATTCTCAGTAATCTGGCTCATTTGACTTACAATAAAGAACAGGACTGGCAGGATCTCTTGCAGGAAACTTTCCTTAGCAGAATCATTCATCTGATGTCATCATCTTTACCTTAAAATGCTAAATACACTGTACTCCACCTTAGTTTTTCATGTTATGCTATGTAAGTACAAGATCAGCAGATCTTTAACAGATTCTTGAATGTGTAATCACACACACCACATTCCAAAGGTGCTCTAGTGGATTGAGATCTGGTGACTTTGGAGGTCATTTGAGTATTGCCAACTCATTGTCGTGTACTCTCAAGACTCTTCAGACCAGGCAACGGTTTTCCAATCTTCTGTTGTCTGATTTTGGTGAGCTTGTGTGAATTGTAGCCTCAGTTTCGTGAAGCCCAGCTGATTCAAGGTTTGACGTGTGTGTTCAGAGATGCTCTTCTGCAGACCTTGATTAAAACAAGTTATTTGACTTACTGTTGTCTTTCAATCAGCTCTAACCTGTCCTTTGGGTTTTCCTCTGACCCCTGGCAACAACAAGGCATTTTCACTCACAGCGCTGCAGCTCACTGGATATTTTCTTTTTCTTTTTTCCAACCATTCTCTGTAAACACTAGAGATGATTGTTCTTGAAAATCCCCGTAGATCAGCAGTTTCTGCAATACTCCCAGCCCGTCTGCCACCAACAACCACGCCACGTTATAAGTCACTTAAATCACCGTTCTTCCCCATTCTGATGCTCAGTTTGAACTTCAGTTTGAGCTGCTATGTAATTGGCTGAGATATTTGCATTAACAATCATTTGAATAGGTGTACCTAATAAAGTGGCTGGTGAGTGTATATTTTCTTATTATACACATTATTTCTTGTGCACACACAAATTCTTCTGGTATTGGAACTAGGCCTACAGGAAAAAAAAAAAAATCAAAATTGTGAGAGTATAATGTAAACCACTTGGCTTTGTTTCCGGCTGTTATAAATGGACTTCATGATCCATGTAAATAACGATGAAATTACCAAGTGCTTTGTCATGTGATTGGGAAAAGGCATGTAATTGTGTTAGAAAAGAGACTGTGGTTGTAGTACATTACAGGCTTTATGCTGCTCTGAATGCCAGGCAGCATACAAGATACTTCACTGTGGTTAAGATATTGTCCTGCTTCTGACATGAGCAATGTTCTTTTTGCATTGATTGATGATTGTTTGAAATGACTGATACATGAGAATGTTTATCTAGTTATACATTATTGAATAGCTTGAATAAAGAGAAATTCTTAGGGAACCAACTCATTTATTGGTATTAAAGGTTCTGCCAAGATTGAAAAGACCTAAATGGCTTTGCGATGGAAATGCATTTAAGCTTCTCAGAGTTTTCACTCTTAAGGGTTAAATGCAGATCAAAGCCGAGAGATTGATTTTGAGCCCTACAGATAATCTACTCTAATTCTGGCCATTTTTATCTGTACTCCGGAGGTTGTTAAATACACAAGGCAATGATATGCAGGAAGGTAATGCTTGAAGTCGACGTCTTAAATAATATTTGTGCTATCTGTGATTGCGTTGAAAGAACAGCTATCCCAAAACTGAATGTCCTTCCAAAACCATTTGACTTTATTTCTTCTGTGGAAAAGATGAAAGTCCTGGCGGCTCATTGACATATGAAAGTGGGACAGTATCCCGGGTTTGATGTCACCATGTCTCATCGATGACGTCAAACCTGGTTTAACTTGTCTTGATGTAGGCCTACTTATGTAGGGCAAGCTGTAGAGGGGACATTTTTGAGCCAATAATGTGTTTTTGTTTTACAAAAAACAATTGCATGGCTTTAGAAGACAATATACAGTATATTTGATTTAAATGTTTTTATTGTGATTATTGTTATTTTTGGAAGTCAGCAACTTCCCTTTCACTTTTGGAAATTAGCAGCTTGGACATTCTGGTAAATATTATAAGGGTTTGAAACAACTCAAAGGTGAGAATTCTCAGAGTTAACTATTTCCTTACAGGAACACTCCGACTTTTTTTGGACTTA